GTCTTTCATGTATAACAAGTTTAAGGTTGAAATACTTACGTTTTTGGAGCCTTAGGGGGTGTTCACGGCCGATGATAATTGAGAGAGAATGGGAGGGATCTTGGTTGGGAGGAGGGAAAAATGATGAGAAAATGAGCACTTCATATATATAGAAGGTGGTGTACGGCCGTGGACCCTGTGTACGGCCGTACACACCTTGGGAAGGGTTTCCGGAATGAGTCAAACTCTCCAGCTTCAAATAAACACTAAGGTTAGAAGATCTTGAGGTGGAAATGAAGGATTATGATGCATAGGGGGTGAGCTCACGACCATAGGTGGGTGTACAGCCGTACACCCATGTGTACGGCCGTACACTCCTCTTGAAGGAGTGATCGGCTTGAATGCAACTCGATGAACGGAAAAGAACTCATCCCCAGACCCAAACCTTGAATGTACTAGGTTTAGAACACTCAAACAGACCCTAAACGATGCTAAAAGATAGCAAAAACGAGTCTGACTTTCAATAATCGAGGTAAGTTAGAGATAGAGATTTTCGGGTTGTCACAGACCAAGTTTGACTCAGAGGTATTTTGGGTATTTTGAGAAGATGACTGAGTTTTGGTCCCTATCTGTTATTCAAGAGATCGGTAGAGTCGGTGTTCGGATCAGTGGTCGTGTAGCTATTCTTCAGTCTGTGAGGTTAGTTTCCTTCACTGTACTTGTGGGTTGAAGGCACCAATGCCGGCCCACTGGATTATGTCTTCTGGTTTTGAGATGACGCTAAGTTGGTATGCGATAGAGACTGGTCAGTCGGTAGATCTGTATGATTGGTTATATTAGTATAAGGATGCCTTAGTGATTGTATGTGGAACGTAAGATAGACTGACGACATCTAATCTAGGCTTTATTTCATGTTCTTGTATGATAAAGGGCTTAGAGTAGGATCATCGGTTCGGGTGTCTATCTCACATCTGGATTGTTGGATAGTTATTATGGTATATAGGATGTTGTTGTGATGTAGTGATCTGTTAGATCTGTATGATTATCTGTTTTGTTGGATGTTATGGGTTGTATGTTTTGTTTATGTCGACATGTGGTGGGTGGGTTGAGGCGGTCCTGATTTGTGTTGTATGACAAGATACCCATGGCGGTTCGGATGGACTGAAGGCCCAATAGAGGCGGTTCAGTCAGACCGAAGGCTCAAGAAAGCGGTCCAGATAGGTTGTAGGCTCGGAGGAGGCGGTCTAGTCATGCTGACGGCTTTAGTTATGTATGATGTGGGCTCGGAGGGCAGCCAAACTTATGTTGAGGGCCATGAGGGGTATTCCATACATAAGCTGTGGGTCGGGTATTCATGATTGTTATGTTCTATCTTGTTGTTTGATTTGTGTGGGGTGGTACTTTGGGGGAACTCACTAAGCTTTCGCTTACGATTTCAGGTATTTCAGATGATCGGGCTTGGCGAAGGCGTGATCGTTCGCATCCTTTGGATTTTATGTTTCGGGACACTCTGATTATGGATTATAACTTTTGGTAAAACCTGTTTTGTAAACATTCTTGTTATTGGGTTGATTTTGAAAATAAAAATTTTATTCGGATTTTTGGGACGTTACAAAAAATATGGTTTCATAAACTACTAAAAAATAAGAATACATCGTTACTACCCTAGATGCAGTTGAATATGATTGGATGAATGAGTTCATTGAAAAATATGATGAATCCTTCCATTCAGGATCCCGTAGAAACCTTTTGTGACTACAAGGTTGCACTTACTTTAACTAAGGGGCCTAAGTCACATCGAAACACCAATCATTTCCTCCAGAGATTCAACTATATTCAATATATAGTTAAGGAGGATATATTTATATTCACAGTTTACACAAATCAAAACTTAGCGGACCCATTCACGAAGCCCTTCCAAAGGCTAAGCATGATGTTTACGCTTAAGCTATAGGACTTTGTTATTCTAGTGAATGGATTGAATTTGGATTGAGTATTTGGATGTTGGAACATTCTAAGAAATAATTATGTAACGAATTTGATATATGGAGATATGATACTTTCATTAATATATGTTGTGCTGTATATTATCATGTTTAATCCTTGAATAAAAACTAATTATTCTAAAAGATCCATAGTCGATCATATGTGTGGGATCTAATATGAAGGAAGACTAATATGAATTGGATTGGTTGAATTTTAGAAGATGAAATTTGTAAAGGGGTTACAACCAGGTTCATAGGTACTTGCTAAAGAACAAGTATTGGACATGACTCGTTTGGTATAATATGATTTGCATAAAAGGTATATGTAGACCTGAGATACATATTAGGGACTCAAGTGTGAGGAGTATTGTTCTTTGATATGGTTCCTCCATGCTCTTTAACCAAGCAGTCATAGGTCCATCATTAAGTATAATATGATCTGCATAAAATGTATATGTAGACAAATTTGGATTTGTTCCTCTTGTGTGTTGAGAGTGAAAAATCTAAGGCGCCAGACTAAAGTTTAACACCAAACGAGAATAACCGCAATCCATATCTCATGTTCAACATAGTGTCCGAAACAAAGGGATAACTAATACATCACCTAGTTACATCAATTGAAGCTATGCGCTTTTGAGAATTGGATGTTGTTGAATGTCACTTCGTCATGTGTTATTGGGGGTAGTGAAATGTTGCTAGACATTCACGAATGTATACGTCTTTTTATGATGCAATCTCGAGCAAGAGGAAGATTGTTGGTTCTATATGCTCAATAATGATCATAAAACAATATTGCCAATAATCTATAGTGTCATAGGGTCACACCAATAACAAGTAGACACCAATTAGTCAATTTAAGAATAGAATTTGATCCATGTTAAAATGTAATAACTCTTGCATATATTATTTAATTTATGAAAAATAATATGGTATGAATTAATTCAAGTGTGTAAATCACATTATTTAAAGGTTAAATAAGTTAAATAAATCTGTATAACTATATTAATGTCAAGTTTAAATTATATATATATATATATATATATATATACACACAAAAAAAAGGTTATTTAAAAGGATTGGAGTTTATACTTTATAAATAGGTTAAAGTAACTTATATAAAATATAAAAGTAAGTTTTTAAAACTCTCTCTCTCTCTCTCTCTCTCTCTCTCTCTCTCTCTCTCTCTCTCTCTCTCTCTCTCTCTCTCTCTCTCTCTCTCTCTCTCCTATTAATTTCGTTCAGCTATCATCTAGGGAGATCCAATGAGGTTTGTCTGCCTCTTATTTCAACCATTGCACGTTATTGAAAGGTTCAAGACTTACAACTGCTTTGGATGACTTCTAGAAAGAGATTAATGACAAAAGGTTTGGATTTTATCAAGGTTCTAAGCTTATGGACGAAAATACATACATATATACTACCTTTTCTCTCTAAAGGGTTAGGAAAAAAATTGCACACAAAGTTACTCTTTTGAAACATCACATTCGAATTTGATTTTCAAGCTTAAGAGTTTTGTGACTTGCCTGAGTGAACTAGAATTCAGTGGTGTTGGAATCTTTTTGGTGGATTATATCTTTAGAGGAACATGTCTTTGTGTTCTTGCCATATTCACCGACGTCAAACTTCCTAGAGGATTTAAAGGCTTTAAAGGTTGTGATCCTAAAATCCCTTATGGTTGTTTATATTATCTTTCATGCTCATGTAATGCAGTCCTTTGTCGGATTTTATGTTTTCAGGTTTCATTTTGAAGTCTTCCATTGCAAACTCGAAAGTTTTATGTTTTGAAACTCGATCTTGAACACTACATTTCCGTCATCTTCTTCTCCATTTGAGCCAACAACTAATCAAACACCACACTGATGCAGCTCTCCTGAGAATGTTGAAAACAATTATTAGAAAAACAACAATGATGCAAATGATTAATAAACAAAAAAGACTATTGAGACCCATACACGTCTAAAAGGCTAAATAAGAAGAATGAGAACTGAGATTGATTGAAAGTCGAATGATAGGTTCTTATGACTGGTATGCAATAATGGTCGATTGACGAAAGGTTGTGAGTCTACAGTCGATGACTGGTCGGAAAAAGGTCGTGAGTCTACAAGTGATGAAGAACCGACGATAAGTCGTAAGTCTACAGGTGATGGCATATCAGTGATAGTCTGTGAGTCTGGTAGATCGACGAAAAGTCATGAGCCATTGTGTGGTATATATTGTACGTGTAATGGAATGCATGGTATATTCGGGAACTCATTAAGATGTGTCCTCACGTTTTGAAGTTAAATGTTTTTAAAGTTGTTCCATTGACAGAAAGAATGGCATGACTTGACTGTATAAGCATTGAGATTGATAAGTTTTGGATTTCCGCAAACTCTAATATATATGTTTCTAACTTGAGATTTGGTGTTTGAAACAATTTGATATTTATGCTTTTTTATGAAAATGGTTTTGAATTTTTTACTTATATTTTAAAAGAAATTTTTGATTTGAAAATTCGGAACGTTACAATTTTGTAACTTACAGCCAATCTAGTTTACTGGCCGATAATCAGTAACTTAGCCGAACAATCCATCTTATAACCTAGAATAAGGAACGAAGAATTTAAAGCCATTAGGTATTTTACAATGCTAAAAGAATCGGTTATAAACCCCATGACATCATGTAATCTCCTGGTGCTTCTTGCCATTGATCAATACGACGGGAGAAATAGAATAGACAGGGATAACCCCCATTCCTATCAGCGTGAAATGACATTCATTCAATCAGTCCTCTCCTCCGCTCTCTCTGTCCCTGGCTTCTACTTTCACATACCTTCTGGCCTCGGTCGTTGACTTTGCCCCTTCCACTCCTCCATTTAACAAGCAATTTAGTGGTTGTTCGCTCCTGATGTGTGAATCGCAATGCTAGTCGTAAGATATCATTTCTAATTTAGCAAGGAGAAAGAAACAACCGGATAGATCTTCTTTTAAGGACAGGAAAATTGGGTCACATCTTCTTCTATTTTCCCGGAATTCGTTGATTGCTCCGTACGAATTTTCAATGGAATCCTGTTTGACACAAAAACAAAAAACTTAAAATGTCTTCATATATTTGAAATAAAAATCATTTTTTGTTGCAAAGTGACTTTTGTAGAAATGTAAATTTATTATTGAAGTGTAACCTATTCTATTTCTAGTTCGAATAAAATAAAAATCATTTTTTGTTGCAAAGTGACTTTTGTAGAAATGTAAATTTATTATTGAAGTGTAACCTATTCTATTTCTAGTTCGAATAAAAAAAAATCAATGTCCATAACGATTTTTCAAGCATTATAAACAATAACAGCTAGACATGGAATAACAATGTAGCTAATTAAAACAAGAGCAATATGAAAAATATGTTTAAGATCTCAATCTAATCTTATTCCAAATTTTTAGTTTGTATTATATAGTCAAGCTTCAAAAACACATACTAACTTGAAATCAAGCATCCCATATCACAAGTCTCATGGAACATCATCACTTGATCTCAAATTAGACATACTAACTTGAAATCAAGCATCACATATCACAAGTCTCATGGAACATCATCACTTGATCTCAAATTAGACAGATATCAATCTTATTCACAAGTCTCATGGAGCATCATCATCACTTCATCTCAAATTAGACAGAGTATCAATGTTATTCCCTTTGTGATTGTATGTCTCATAAATGTGGTCATGATGATCTTAATTCTTGTTCCACTTAAAATGTTTTATCCATAGCTTTTTGTGGTTTTGAGCAACCAAAATTATGATTCATGGCTAAAAAGTTATTTTAATTCTATCATTAAAAGAAAATATGGAGACTAGTTCATTTAGTTGGATCTTCTGATCTTACAAAATGTATAACAATATTATGTAAGAGCTCAACTTTAACAACATTGATAAATATAAATCTAAAACTGATCCAAAAAAACGTAAGTTTTAACGAAAGTCTAAACCACAAATATCATAAAAAAAAACAAGTGTTCAACAAGTTTCTAAAATAACAAATATAAAAAACTAAGATTAGTTTCCTAGATTGGCATGATGGTTACCAAATCTTCTCATAAGTTCTGATATTTGTGCCTGCATCGTTTTTCTTGATTTTCGTTCAATTTCTCTTTCCTTTGTGATTTGGTCTTGCAAATCTTCCCGTGCTTTTCGTTCCTTTTCCATCTGGATTTGCAACTCCCGTATCTAAAAAAATGTTAAAACAAGCATATATAATTAATGAACAAAATATTTTTAACTATTAAAACAAACTATATCTATTAACATGTTTAATTCGTTATAGCAACATACATTATTTTTTATCCATAAAAACAACATACTTTGCTTGTTAACAGGGATAGGGGAATGTACTTACACTTTTTTTTATCAACAATACCAAAATATTATTGGGTTTATCCATAATACCAACATGCTTTATTTTAATACGTAAGATTAGTCTACTTTACATTTTGCCATAATGACAACACTTCATTTTTACCAAATAATAGCAACACATAGTAACAACATGCTATATTTTTAACCATGATAACAAAAGAATATATTTTCACTTTACCAATATAGAAAATATACTTACATTATTATCCATAATAGCAACATATTTTATTTGTTAGCCAATAACAAAAATATACTTTATTTTAATACATTATACAACATGCTTTATGTTTATCCATAACACAACGTGCTTTATTTTTATCCATAACAGCAACATACCCGTACTTATCTTTTTATCGATAGTAGCAAGCATTACTTTTTATTCATAATAGCAATGTAGTCTATCTTTTTTAGTAATAGGAACACACTTTATCTTTTATGCATATCAACATATTTTATTTTTTATCCATAATAGAAACATAATATATTTTTTTTCTAACAATATAGATGTACTTACATTTTATAAACAGAATAGCAATGTACTTTATCTTTTAATCCAAAATAACAACATACTATATTCTACTAATATAGGCATTAAAAGTCATTTTTATGTAAATAATAGCAACATACTTTTTTATAAAAAAAACATAATGGATTTAGTAAATAAGTATACCTGCAACTGCGACTGAACATACTCAATCGAGAGCATGGAATGCCCGTAAGATGGTGTTTCTGTCGCTGCGAAATTATGATTAGAGGATCCAATCCCATAAATATGATCCTTTCTCCCTCCCTGGCTTAGGGCCCACAAGTCAACATCATTTCCTGTATGTTCAGTTATGTCCTCCCCATACTTCTCAATCATAGATCTCTCATATGCATCCTAAAATTTACCAAAACAACATTATTATTGTGCTAAAAAAAAAAAAAAAAAATTAACTTACATATTCCTGCCACGACCGAACAGTACACCACTCTAACCCACTTGTTGTCAAAAACCATTTCCGCACCTGGCACAGATGACATTGTTTATGAGTTTATTTTTTACTTAACAAGATTTTCAAGATTAAGATATAACCAAAAAAAAAAAAAATTGTGGGTCTTTATTTTAGAAAAGGAATATTCAAAACAAACGTACTTTCATATTAATTGGTAAACGATTTGGTTTCGATTTCTAGCAAACTGAATCAAAAGAAATTATTTTTCATGAACCGAAGACTGATCCTTTGAAAACTATATTTATGAACTCATAAATGTTAACTGTCTACATATGCCAGATCAAGTAAGAAAACTATTATCTAAATGTATTTTTGCAATCTACATACGCTTTTTCGGTTTTAAAATTTTAGTACGATTTATGAAAATAGTTTAAATACAATACGACAAAGAAAACTATCATAATTGTCTTAAAATTAATTACTGACCAATCCAATCTATGAGTGAGTAGTATATGACTCGTCCAATATACAGAAAACAAATACATAAAACTAAAAGAAGAAACATACATGTAAGGAGTGCTGTTTGGGTGACACGATAGTCTCGATGTATTTCCCTATTGGAGAGATATTGGAATCCATTCTTCTTTGGTATACTTGTTCATTTGGAGGATTGATTGGGTATGTAAACACCATTTCTTTGGTATCTTTCTTCATATCAAATACGTAAACATTACCTTCATTTTGAACGAGCAAATTTCCATTTCTCATAAAGTGTAGTAGCGACCCACCCAAAAGAAAAAACGACATTGGGCCATAAGTTAACACCTTCGTCCAATCTTTATCTCCATCCATCCTCCATAACTCGATCATTTCAGAGTTTGTCATATTATTTTCTTTCCCAATGAGAATGGCAATACAGAAGTGGATGCATCCTTTAAGAACCATGAAACCCAAACATCTTGTCCTTTGGTTTCCAAAACAGGGCATTGCTATCTCTGTGAACTCTTCCGTCTTTGTGTCGAACCTCATAACTGAATATGACTTAATAAAGGTTTCTCGTTCTATATCAACTTGTTTTAAGAAATAGAGTTTTTCATTCAATAGAATTTGACTTGGATGCTCCTGCTTACTTGCAAGTGAAGCCCAGTTGGAATCCCTTTGTTGGAAGTTCTCTGTAGACTCGACCTTTCTCCATGAGTCGGATTTTAGTGAGTATATATAAATATAAATACTGGGATAATAGGTTACACGTAGAAGCCTGTAGTCGTCAAGAGAAGATATATAATACAACCCAAATATACCATGATCATAGGTCGTGTAACATTCTTTATCATGACAACCCTTATTAGACAAGCCTTTACAGTCACCTGTCAAAGGATTCCATAAAATTAAACCAGTACATTCGTCAGAATATTGGAACTTTCCTGTGCCTACGCATAACAGTCCATGCAAAGATGTCAAAATCACCATTTTGTCATTAAATGAGAAAGCTAATGGTAAACGACGGCCTGCTGTTAAACCATCTTCAGGTGTTTCACAGTCGATGCTATGGAACCTTGGTCGATCAGTGTTAGTTAAGATGAATTGTTTGTGGTGGTTTTCATGGTCGTCGTTGGTGGTTACGTGGTGGTGGTAGGTGGTGGCAAAAGCACCTGATTTTAGGAACAAGTACCATTTCTTGCAAACACACATTACATTCGGCAGAGCTTTGACCGGAAGCCTTGGTAGTATCTGGAAAAATAGAATCTCCTGTGGAAGATTTCTGGTGATTGTATTTCTGGGAGGGCGGGGCTCCGCCATCGCCAATACTGCTTAGTTTTGTTTGTGGGGTAGGATTCAACCTAAAAGTCAAGTGGGGTGTTGACCATGTAAATAGAATAACATTAAAACAGTCCACTAAGTATCATTTTACAGTTAAAATCTTGAAATCTACAAAACGTTTGATAACATTTTCATTTCTAACCATGGAAATTCCTTCTCTTTCAAGTTACACTTGTAAATAGAAAACTCACTGTAAATGGCATTCACTATATTTTTCTAGAACATTTTGATTAAATTAGGTCCATAAATCAATGTATACTTAAGTCACGTTTGCAATTAATCATATAGCTCCTCCATTTGGTTTTTTTCATAAATAATGCATAAAAAACAAAAACTATTTAACTATTTCTTTTTCTTTTTTTATATATAGATCTACAGATCCACTAACATAGTTGCAAAACTAAGAAATGAAATCAACAAACTAACAACTAATCATTCATCTAAGCAATAAAAAACTCAAGTCAAATCTTCCACTAATTATTATTTTATCCTAAAAAATGGCATCAAATGAACTAATAACCTCTTCAAATAAAAAATAATAATAATATAACATACAAGGTAGCGCTGTAGGCGAAAAGATGCAAATGGCGTAGTCTCAGGCGACTTGGCCGTTTCTTTTCCGGCGAGTTCTTCTTGTGGAGGAAGCTAGATTAAAACCTAGAAAAGTAAAAGTGTGGAGCATTTTGGGGTTTTTTTTTTTTTATGAGAGAGAGAGTTACAGGGGAAAGGAGATAAAAGTAAAAGTGTGGAGCATTTTTTTTTTATTTTTTTTATTTTTTTTATTTTTTTGTAAGAGAGAGAGAGAGTTACAGGGAAAAAGGAGATAAAAGGAAATCAAAAATTTGAACGGGGCCGGCTGTCAGGGTCACACTCTTTGAAAAAAATATTATATATAAAATTCAGCGAGAATTTTATATACGTCTTTTTTAAACCTCAAAATATTATATTTGTTAGCTTAATTTTTCAATGTCATATTTATTCTTTATAAACTTTCAAAATATCATATTTGCCCAAATCCTTTTTTGTAATGTTTTTAATATTTTATAATCATTTTTATACCTTAGAATTATTATAATAAGTGAAAATTTTAATCATATTATCATTACGTCTATGATAATGGAATGTGAACTTCTAAATTGTTGGAATGTTGTCATCTTGATAAACAAAAAGATTCATCTTCAACCCTCTCTATTGAATGTATATTTTGATTGTTTAGTTTTTGTTGTTGTTGATTATTATCATGTTGTAGATGGATGATATGTTAGATATTACCATTAACATTTTGATGTTTAAAAAATGCATAGACGATATTTTGATATTTAAGAATGGCATATATGATATTTTGATGTTTAAAAATGACATATATGATATTTTGAAATTTTATGAATGGTAAATATGATATTTAGAAATTTTATGAAGGGTAATAATGATATTTAGAAATTAAGTTGAGTAAATATGATATTTTGATGTTTAAGAAGGACATATATGAAATTGTCCCAAAATTAAAATATAAAAAAATATATTTTCATAATTGCTCTATGTGGTTTGTGGTTTGCAAAATATCGATTTTTGAAGACTTTTATGGAAAACGTAATGTCACTGGTCCTGTGGTTTGCAAAATTTAATGAATTATACTTCTGACATTAAATCTAACTTTTCAGCTGTTATATTTTTATGAAAAAACTATTTTACTCTTGTATAAAATCTACAATATACAACAAACCTTAAGGACCATTTGTGTAAATTTTTAAATTTAAAATTTTATGTGTGTGTGTGTATATATATATATATATATATATATATTATATATAATATATATATTATATAGATATATATATATATATATATATATATATGTGTGTGGTGTGTGTGTGTGTGTGTGTGGTGTGTGTGTGACAAAACTTCAAAAATGGTCCCCATGGTTTCACAAAATCTGAAGTTTGGTCCCTAATTTTAAAAAACCTCACGGATGGTCCATGTGGTTTCAAAACTTTTAATGTTAGTCCTTCCAGCTCACTCCGTTACCATTTAGCTTTTAACTCATTTTTCAAAATTATATTGCAGGGGCAATTTTGTCATTTCACTTGTCACCTTCACTCTTTAAAAGAAAGATTGCATGCCCGATTTTTATGCAAACCCTTTATCTGCGATCGTCATCTCTCTTCTCCCTTCCACTGTTGGTCGACCATTGCACCCTTTACAATATCTAATCGCTTCGCATTCAAAGATGGTGACTTGCAGATGTGGGAATGAAGCAATAAAGATCACTTCATCGACGGATCGTAACCTTGGAAGGCAATTTTGGAACTGTACAAGATGTGGGTTCCTTCGATGGTCTGACCCTCATATGTGTGTGTTGTGACATGCTCTGTAGGGAATTGGCCGTTTGTTGACGAGTTGGTCTTTGAGGTTTACCTGAGAACACAACACAGAAGAATCGTTAAAGGACGACCAGGGTTCTCCCGGGACGTCACTCCGACGATCAAGTTAGCTTTCTTTCTGAAAGAGATTTAGGTAAAATTGTATAGGGAAGAAGATGATCCCCTTTCCTTGAGCAATAAGGGATCCTTTTATACCTGATGCTAACGGAATGGGGTGACTCTACCCATGTGGGAGTGAGACGTGGCACTTTCCTACTAGGAGAAGTATGCTCACGCCGTCTAACAGCCAGGTGATGTCAGTTTTCGGCGCCATCAGGCTCTTTGTCATGACCTGATTGGTCATGAGAGAATGAGAGGATCACGAGGAATATTCTTCCTCGTGGGGGAAAGTGAGTCGTCATCCTGGTGTTGGCCTGTCCGGGCTAAGACTGAGACCCGGCCAAGGCCCTGGCGAGATAACGTCCCGTTAGTGCTTTTCGTCAGATTTAACGTGGTCGCATACGGTAACGTTAACAAATCCCTTAGACCATTAGGCTTCTGCGTTGGAGACGTAGCAGAGTCGTTCTGGTCTAGTCATAGACACATGGCGGATTACTATTGCAAGTATGTGCGGTTGACAAGACGGAGTTGCTGTTGTTCGGGGGTTTCATCATGAGACGATTCACTGCTCTTTTTGTAGCATTTAAACCCTTGTTTCTCCAGGAATTTTCCTCCTCACTTTCTGCCTTCCTCACTTTGCTTCTTTTCTCTAAAGAACCCTTTCGATCTTTCCTTGCATTCTTCCATGGCTGTCGCTTGTCCTTTAGGAAGGGAACTCACTTATGAGGAATGGGAATCCTTCCAGTTCCGGTTTGGGTTTGTCCCTGAACATGGGGTTCAAATTCATTTCCCTAAAGCATCGCTCTATAGTCCCCCTGAGGGCAAGGTCGGCATTCTGATTGCTTTGTTCGAGGTGGGTCTACGCTTACCCACTACAGACTTTTTCAACCTGATCATACGTGAATACGGGGTTTCTGTGAGGGAACTAACCTCAATCGCCATAAACAAGATTATGGGCTTTGATCTTCTCTGTCAGACCCTAGGTTACCAGCCGACTGTCCCGGCGTTCAAGCACTTTTTCAATGCTTCCACCCAGTGTGGGACTCGGACCCTTTCTCGCCAACGAGGAGTCCCTACCCTCATCCATGATCAAAAATCCAAAAAGAATTGGCAGGATAGGTTTTTGTGGGTGAACAATGACCTTGTGGTGCTTAGCTATCCTAAGACCAAGGCGTATGTAGACCGTGCTCCAACGCTCTTTGGTGCTGACAAAGAGTTGGCAGATGCCCTAGAGAAGGTTAGCATTTATGGTGAGGACTGGCTCGACTGCTTCTTGGTTGTTGGTGGGATGAGCGCCGCTTGGAGGGCTCGTGGGAAAATGCCCGAGTTTTTTGTCGAGATACAAGGTATGGTGCTTCTTCTTCTGCTTTCCCTCCCCCCCCCCTTTTACTCGGCAAAGTACTTTGAAATCGATAATTTTGTTAACCGCTGTTACCTTTTGTTTTTTGTCAGGCGTGGAGAAGATTATCTCCTTAGAGAGAGCTCTATGAGGTTTATTCGACGGTAATCTTGAGTGTCGCGACATCGAACTTGTAGAGACTCTCTCGCCACCTGTTTCCAGTTGGGGTATCGGGGCTATATCTGAGTCTCCCGCCGGTTCAGAAGATGTTGTTGGCGCTGGCAAGGAGCTGGATTTGCAGGACGTTGTTGTTACCAGTACTTCTCAGAAGGATCATGTCCATTCCGGGTCCCCAAGGAGTCTCCGACGTGTCAAGAGGCGATTCGGTTTGTTGGAAACCTCTTTTGGCGGTAACGTTGAGACGGCTAGCACCGAGCCCCCGCTTCGCAAGAAACGTAACTTGAGTTTCTTGCTAGGGGGTTCCAAAGGTTCCACCAGTGTCCCCGATGAAAGTTCTTCGAAACTACTAGAGGGGGCACACAATAGGGCGACTGAACTACCTGTTAATAAAGAGAAGAAAACTACCGATGTGACTGACCCCGATCCTGCTGATGAGAGAGCCAAGGCGAAGTTTGGATCTCTACCTTGTCGTGGTCATGCATCAACTTCTCCTGGTAACACGGGAGTTGTCCCTCCTCCTTCAGGGTCTCACTCGGGTATCTATAGGTCGTCTTGGAGCTTAACCCCTAAAGACCTTGTATCCGACCACGAAACTGCTCTTGAGTGGTGTCGGCATGCTTTTCCGCCCACCACAACTGAAGCTTTGACCGTTCTGGCAGATAAGCACAAGGTTGACGGTCTTCGTTATGTCGCCGCCCAAGTTTCTTCTTACTTGGTATCGGCTGCCGAGCACGTTTCCTGTTGGATTAGTGTCTAAGGCTGTAACTATATTTGGTAAGTACTTTACCCGGTTATGCATAGGTCCTTTTGGGTTGCCTTCACCATAGCAACTTGACAGGATGATTTGTTAAAGAGAGAAGAGATATTATTAATATATTATGAGAATAATATATATTTAAAGGAATAATAATATTATTTGATTAATATAAGTCATATATTAATTGAGAATTAATTTGGTGACTTAAAGAGGTTAATTGAATAAATGGCATAAACTGTCAAATGTGTGATAGTTGTATTTTGGGCTATGTATCCTTATGGATATTAGGGTGAACGAAATTTAGGGGCTTGGGAACCTTAATTTCGTCCAAGCCTTGTATCTAGAAGGATCTTGGATTGCTTAGGGCCTAAGTCATTCAATTAGGGTTAAAGGAGAAACCCTAATAGCTCATAGTATAAATAGGACCCTTGGGGTGGAGAAATCGGCACTCTTGCAAGCCAAGGAACCCTAGGGCCGATTTCTATCCCTCCTCCCTCTCTCTCAAGATCATCTTCTTGCTAGTTGGTGTTTGTAAGCCATTAGAGGAGTGACAATTGTGACTCTAAGCTCCAAAAAAATAGTATCAAGCAAGTAATTCAAGTATTCTTTCAGATCTGATTTCATATGATTAGATTCAATAAATTCATTAGATCTAGTATTGCAAGTCTTGGATTCAATGCATGTTCAATTAGAGAAACCTAGATCCAAGCAATTAGGGTTTGCATGTGCACATAGGAAAGTTCTTATGGCTCAAACCCATCATTTCCGACATAGAGGCTATCCAGTCCTATTCGGACAAGATGAGCATTGAATTTGCGGAGTTGAAGGCTCAGGTGGCGAAGATGGAGGCTGATAAGTGCAACTTGGAGGCCCAGCAAGAGCTTGCGTTGTGCGAGAAGGTGAGCCTGGAAGAACATGTGGCAAGGCTAGACGGGGAGGTGAAGCGCTTGACTGATCGTGTAGGGGACCTGACCTTGGAGAACACTGGCCTGAGCGAA